GAAAATACATTGACACTATTCTAGAACCAAAACTTCTACCTTCCATCAGAGATCTCTTTCCCACAATGCTTCGTTTATTTTTCAGCAGGATTCTGCTCCTTGCCACACGGCCAAAATATCGAAAGAGTGGTTTCGTACAAAGAGCATTAAATTGTTGTCATGGCCAGGAAACAGTCCTGACCTCAATCCTATCGAAAATTTGTGGCACCGTTTGAAAACTCTTGTCCGAATGAGGTGCCCATCAAATAAAAGGGAACTAATTGAGGCTATAATTATTTCCTGGCATCATGTAATAACGAAAGAAGAACTTAAAACTCTTGTCAGCTCAATGAAATGTTGATGTGAAGCTGTAATAAAAAATAAAAGGTACCCTACTAAGTACTGATAACTCACTGCAGTCATCACTATCTAATGTATATCGATAACTATTATCGTTTAACTTTTTTTGTATTGCAAATAATTGAATTTTGGTTTTGTATTGAATTCAGTATAAATTCTCTTTAAAATGATATATACAAGTTTGCATTTTGTGAAACGTAACGTTTTCTATAAGCATACAAAGTTCAAAAACATAAAAATTTCCAAAAGTGTCCACAATTTTGGCCAGCACTGTACTTTCAGGTTCCAATAAGCCATTCAAGCACCAAAGGTGATAAGTCGTTTTGCATTATTTTAAGTCTCACTAGGTGCAAAGAATAAGTTTTACTTGAATTTCTACATTTTTGTGTTTTATCTTGTGACCACAGTGAGTATTAATGAAAGGCAATAACTTGCTTTAATATGTGGAGATAATTTTTAAGGGTAAGCAGTTAGTTATAAATAATTAAATTAGGTAAATAGGTAACCTTAGTCATTATGGATTTACATGGCCACTATTAAATTTTATTTTTTTTAACAATATTTGTTAAAAAAAAGCCCTATTAAAATTCAACAATTCTAATTGAATTTCACAGTTTAAAATACATGTAATTTATGACATTGATATTTAACATGATATTAGGATAATTACACATTAAAAGCTACAAAAAAGTTCTGTTTTGTAATAACAACACTCAACAAAATATCTATCAGTCATTTTAATTTAAAGCCTTCCTCAAACCTTTTGGCTAAGTTTACATCAATTTCCTTCTTTTTAAGCATCTTTTCTAACAATAATTGAGATATTTTTCTCAATATGCAAACCTAATGCTCTCGCTAGTTTCTGCCTGCTTTATCTCCTAACTTATCAACCTCTCCACAATGTACCTACTGGGATTTTCTTGACCTGGTAAAAGTTAAATAGTCCCAAACCCAAGACAGACATGAAACAAATTATTGCTACGTGACTGAAAGTACTACAATATCAGACAAAGGATTTAAATAAGCCTCTTATTTAAAAAGAACTTTATAACATAAAGGCATGTTCTGATGCTAACAAAGTCAATCATGGTGACGTAATTAAGCAAGAACAGTCAAATTCAAACTAAAAATGTGGACTAGTGGTCAAAGATTACACAATTTAATTAATCTGGCTCAGTAACCCTATCATATGAGGAAACAGAAATGGAAAATTATAGTAAAGGTTGAAATCATAAACAATTGGGTAATTTACATAATAATAACTGCACATATCTTTGAAGAATAATTTTCTTTATGTATTCAGTTTCTTTCTTCAGCATGTTTCCATTTTATTTTAGAATTTTTGGATTTAATTAAAGATTTCTGTTTTTCTAAAAAACACTAAATGCATTTAGAATGTATAGAAAAAGTGACTAATTTAATTTCTTTAGTAATATGAAATTCAGAAGAAATATGAAATATATATGGTAAAGGCCGGTTACAGAGCTGGTATGGCAGAATTTTTATAATTTAGTGACACACCAAACAACAAAATCTAGAAATGGCAAAACTTTCATAATTTAGAGCAGGCATTGGAAGCAGAATTTAGAAAGGTACTATGCAGTTGAATTTAGGAGATTGAATCAGATGGGAAAATGCCTAGTGCTAGCTCTGTGTATGATGCATTAAAAACATACACTGACTACCAATAAGTATTTGGACACCTATGCAAATGACGATATCTGCGGTCCTAAGGTATGTCACGGACTCTGCCGGTATATGTCGTGTAGGAAACAACATCGGCTTTAGTCGCATGCAAGATGCCTCGCAGTTCGGTGCTCTCTGATTTCGAGAAAGGTATAATTATTGGGTATCACAAATGGCCGATCCTTAAGAGACATCTAGCGATCTGAAGTACCCAAAATCGACAGTGGACTATGTGATTAAGAAGTGGAAGGTGAGCGGTGATTGTCGGAATGTACCCTGAGTTGGCAGACCAATGAAACTGGGAGATAGAGACTGACGAGTGCTGTCCAGAGAAATTCGGATGAACCGCACCCAACCAATGGCCCTCATCTGCAAGGAGTTTCAACAGGCATCTAGGAGTATTGTTTCAATGAATACCATACGTAAGGAAGCACATCTGCTTGGTTTTCATGGTTGTGCTGCTGTCCATAAGCCTTTGATCACAAAGTCCAACCGCGCTGCTTGATTAATGTGGTGCAAAGTACATTGAAATTGGACCGTAGATCAGTGTAAACGGGTTCTTTGGAGTGACGACTCAAGGTTCACCTATTACCGTTCGGATGGCAGGGTCTGGGTCTGGCGTCTACCTGGAGAACATCTGCCAGAATGCATTGTGCCAACAGTCAAGTTGGCAGAGGTGGAATTATGGTCTAGGGGTGTTTCTCCTAGTATGGGCTGGGACCCTTGGTCTCCATTCATGGTAAGCTCAACTCCGATGCCTACTGCACTATTTTGGATGACAATGGGCTTCCTACGTTGTAGCAGCTTTACGGGTTGGACCCCTGTTACTTTCAGGACAACAATGCCAGTTGTTTTGATGTTAACCAAGGCTTGGTATGGTGCCAATGGAGTTCATCGAATGGACTGGTCTGCCCAGAGTCCAGACCTGAATCCTATCGAGAACCTCTTGGACGAGTTGCATCGCCGAATTCAGGAGTGCACTACCCGTTCAAAATCGGTGAAGGAACTTCTATGTCTTCTCCAAACCGAGTGGAAGAAAATACCACTAACTGTCATACAAAGACTTATGGAAAGTATGCCCCGGAGGGTCCACGCTATAATTACCTCTCGTGGAGGCTCTACCAACTATTGATTTTGAATAAAGTTAGCTTTTCTTTTCTATCACAGGTGTCCAAATACTTATTGGTAGTCAGTGTATTAGATGGACCTTTTAAATTGTAAGTTTTTAATTTCTTTATTAATAAAAAATATCCCTTTCTATAATCCTTCCTTTCTTCCCGTAAAATAAGATTAGAAGCATTTTTTGATATTTTCCATGCTTGTGTCTAGTGAAAAGTAGAGAAAATAAAGGGAAGATAAACATGTTAAGAAAAAGATTCTAGAATCAGGAGTAAAACATTCAAATATTATGTCTTCATTGTTCTTCCAGATGTTCTCCAAAAAGTAAGAAATTCATCGCAAACTTTCTGTAAAATACATCCATTACGCGTTGATACCATGGAGACATTTTTCATTTTGTCACACATTTCTCGGATCATCTATAATCATGGGTCTATAAATCTTGCCTTCAAATCCTTCTAAATTTTCCAAGCTGCAATGTCAAAAATACTAAAAATTATCCCAACCAATTCTCTAACATCAAAAAGCCAGAAAAATTTTGGGAGGGGAAAAAAAAGGGAGGGGGGGGGAGAGGAAAAGTGTAAAATTAATTTTATAGAGAAAACATGCATATTCTGAGGATTTTGAATATTCTGAGACAAATACATGGAAAAAAAGCTTACTATGAAAAATTAAAATGAAGACTTTTTAATTAATTACATAGCTAATTTTGCTTTTGCTAAGAGCTGTTTTGTAAAATGCTTTATAGCATTATACCTTGTTTATTTTTCAGCTTTATAATAATGTATAATAAGTTGCCAAAATGAAACTTTATCATATAAAAGCGAAAAATAAAAAAGGTTTATTTAATTGTTATTTTTTAAATATAATTTCAATATATTACCATTATTTTAATAAAATTTATCAATGTTACGATGTTTAAAAAAAAAATCGTCAAAAAATTCTCAGATTTCGGAATTAAAAATTTTCTGTAGAAACTGACGTTAAAATCGCCAAATTTAAAACCATTTAATAAACGAATTCACATCTCCAAAAGCGAAAATTGTTTAAGAGCTCTTTATTACAAAAATTGAATTTCAAAATGCTGATGTTTCACATCTTGCTTAGAAACTCGAGCATCCCATGAAACTCCAGTAAATATTAGAAATAGAAACAAATTACAACCCATTCAAAAGATAACCATACACGAGAGTTAATCGCCAAAAATATTCCTCCAAAATGCTAATTCACACTCAAAATGGCAGTCGTATAAACAAACAGAAAATTTCAGATGATTAAAATTAAGGACCTTCTACTGATTTTGGCCAAAATTAAGGACTTTTAAGGACCAAAAATCAATTCCAAAAAAAATTAAGGACCGTACGAACCCTGTCGTGAGCTTTCAGCTGCACATAATTAAAAAAAAAAAGATTTAAATTTGCTCATTTTCGCAACATTGACTCCTCAGTGCCAGCAGTTGGGAAAAATTTGAATTGAAATGTATGTACCTTATGACCCTCCCCAAAATCTTTGTAATAAGCTTTTATGTGTTTAGATGCTAACTGCATGTCATTTATTTAATTTTTTATGACTTTTAAAAATGTGTCCAAATTTAAAGATTCATTAATATAGAAATTTGTAACAACATAACTCTCAGAAAATTATAAGAGTATAACAGGGTTTCATAAATACTTTAATACCAACATTAAAAATCTTGTTCAAATTTGTTGAAACAGCGAAGAAAGCAACACACGCCTAATAGCTTCTTTGATTATTTTTAAAGAAACTAAAGCTTCTATGTAACTCTGAGAATTTATATTTTTGTGATTTAATTTTGTTTTCTTGTAAAAGATTGAGCCATATTAATAAACACATAATAAAAAATATGAAAATTTTATACACAAAAACAAATTTTACAGGAATTTATACTTATTTGACAAAAATAAAAATATATTCAATATACTAATATTTTCTTATTTAAAATTTTCTGATATTCATGAATCACCCTTGATCTGAACCAGCTGAGAGTTCTTTGGGACATTTTCACCAACTTTATAGAATACTTTTTCAACAATTCCATTACAATGGGCTTTTATTACATACTGGAAAAAAAAAAAAAATACTTATTTAGTCTGGAAGTATAAAAATTAAGTACTTGCCAAAATGACTACAAATTTGAGTTTTTAACTTTCACAAGAAACCTTTTTTAAATTACAACTGATATTAATGTATTCTACATGAAACTATATTATTAAAGATAAAACTGATATGTGCTAAATGATGCTATTTCAAAATATGAGTACTTATATATCATAAATATAAACAAAACTTACTTATTTAAGACCTCTATGCTATCACTACAATATTCTTCAAAGACACAATATTTATTTTTAAGAAAATGTCTCAATATAATTGAATATGCTAAACATAGATTTTAAGTTTATTTAGCAACTTTCAGCAAACACAGTGCTAAAGCTGTAAAATTAAATGTCTAATTTGCTTTGGAAGTATAATTTAAAAACAACATTAGATTTATACTTTGTTTTAAGAATTCATAATTCAAGTAATATCAATTGTATTAAGATTTTGAAAAGGAAAACTACATTTATTAGCACTGTTGTGAATTTATAAAACAAAAGTTTCACAAAAGCATTCACCACTGGATATTGAAATGCAATACACTTACTTCCATTTTCATAGCTATCATGACAACTAGGGCATCTCCCTTTTTAACACTATCTCCTACACTGACACTTATCTTTTCAATCACTCCAGGCATTGGAGCAACTGCTCCCTTGTGAGAGAGTTCTGACAAAGAGGCAGAGAAGAATTTTGGAGTGTGAAGAAGAAATTGATAACTAGAATCCTGAAAGCATACAAAGTTTGCAACAATACAGTTAAATTTTAACATTTAACTGTATATAGTAATTTTAATGTATTCAATTAAACCAAAATAAATATTCCTCCCCCTATTTATATTATGACTTGAATAAATGTTATTAAATATGAATTCATGCCTAAGTGACATGGTACAGCTGTTAATCTTGGAATATGAAAAACCAGGTTTTTTTTTTTTTTTTTTTTTTTTTTTTGCTTTTGAAAGTCTTTTCAAAAGAATTCGAGATTGACTTTTAGTGCATTTTCATTTTTATAATAATGGATTATCACCCAATTAACATATAATGCATGATTTAGGTTATTGGACTATTTGCAATGTGATTGTCATGCAATTATAAATTTTTATATTCTTTGCCTAATTTCATTTTGTAATTTTCTCATACTCTTATACCAAGTAGGGAAGAAATGCTTTTATTTATCAAAGAACTTTTAAATATGATTACAATAATATACCAATTAATAATTAATGTTTAAATCATTTTGTAGATAAAACTTAATAATATACCAAGTGAGGACAGAAATATGCCCAAAGTAAAACATAATATTAGGAAAAGTAACAACCTTCTATTTGGCTTATACACTCACTTCCAAAAGTTAAGCACGGAGAGCAAAATGCTAATTTCTGGAAGCCAATCAGAATTGAAGAGGATGCAATTCGCTGCAGAGGTAGACGGAAGTATGCAAATATGTTAGGTAACAGCCAATCGTGCTTTCACGTCAAGAAATATGCAAAAAAGGTAGTCTTATAAGAAGCTAGCTAAATGAAGGGTTACGGAAATTGATTGTAAGTGCTGATAGAAGGTGTTTAAACATACGTTTTCAAAACACACGTGTTTCTATGACTTCTAGAAGACGAATGGAAGATTCTGAGTGCTGGCGTGCTGTGCGGCGCATTGAAGCAGGACAGTCGATTACAGATGTTGATCTTTTCTTCGGCGTCCATCATTCTGTAATTTCACATTTATGAAAACAATTCCACACTGCACAGACAGTTGTCCGAAGGCCCGTAGCCGGTCGCCCAAGGGTTACAACCCCTGCGGAAGATCGATATATTGCTATTGTAGCCAAGCGGAATCGCAGAACGATCTCCATACGTGTGACATGTATGGTTACAGTGTCCATTGGTAAGGCGATATCTGCAGCTACAGTATGCCGAAAATTACATATGAGTGGACTGTACGCCCGGGTACCTCGAGTTTGTGTTCCTCTATCCATCCAATCAAGAGGGGCACAATTACAGTGGTGGCGGGAACATGTCAATTGGAATGTGTCTGACTGGGGCAATGTCATGTTTACTGATGAGTCAAGATTTGCTCTGGAGCCAGATGACAAGCATATAAGGATATGGTATGAACAACGAACACGCAATCAGTGCCAAAACTTCACGCATTGTGAGGCGGAAGCATTATGGTGTGGGCATGGATTTCATTAGGATACTGCACCGACTTGCACATCTTTAAACGGGGTTCTTTGACGGCTGTCCGGTATCAAGATGAAGTCCTAGAACCCATTGTGAGATTGTACGCTGCAGCAGTTGACCCTACTTTTGTTTTAATGGATGATAAGGCATGTCCCCATAGAGCTGACATCGTCGATGACTACCTGGAGAGTGAAGGGAAGCGCGTATAACGTGGCCAGCATATTCGCCCAACCTTAATCCCATTGAAAATCTCTGGGATGCTCTCGGCCGTGCTGCATCTTCACGTTTCCCACCTCCAGCCACTCTTATTGAGCTGGAAACTGCTCTACAAGAAGAATGGTGATTGCTTAGTTCTGCGGTGGTTGACCACCTAATTGAAAGCATGGTCACAAGGTGTAAACTTTGTATACAGATGAGGGGGATATCACATACCCTATTAATGTCCTTTTTTTCATTTTATGCTGTTTATTTTCACTTTATACATAATTCTGTTTAAGTCTCCAGTATATCATTATCTGATAACTTACAAAAATTTAATATTGTTTTCATTTCTGTATATAATTATTGATTTTGTTTTATGCATAAATATATATGCTTATTTCCTGCCAAATTTTGTGCCAATCAAAGCAGTATTTGCTGATTGTTTTTCATTTTACATTTTCGTGCTTAACTTTTGGAAGTGAGTGTATTTTAACGAAGACTGTATCAGTTTCGAGGGCAACAAGTGTAGGTCACTCATCGTGAGGGGAAAAGAAATTCTGCAAAGAGTGAAGCTATATTTATATCAAAAGCACAAGAGTAAAACAAATGAGAAGGTAACGCCATAGAAGGTGGTCCACAGAAATAGTAATGAAACGTGAAATATTACATTAATAGTAGTATTTTAAAAGCTGGAATTAAAGTCACTAAGTAAACAAGATAAATCTTTGTGAATGTGAAAAGTTTCAAGGAAATTCAATTTATTAACTGAAGAACCTTTTTGGATAATTTTTGCAGACACAAAGTCAAAACTGTGATTAAATTCACAATTATGATTAGCTCTCACAAATTTCTTTATTTCTACTTTTTAGTGATAAGATCTGTATTCCTTGATGCTAAACTTGAATGCTCTTTTAGTTTTGCTGATATATCTCAAACCACACTGACAAGATGTGCTATAAATTCCATATGCCATCCAAGTTCACTTTTGAAACTGAATCTGAGAATACCATTCTCTTTCTTTATATATTCTTATCTGCAATGAATCTGATTTTAGCATTACATTTTACTGTAAATGCATTTTTCTGTTTGCTTGCCTCCCTATGCTAAATCATGTCACCTGGCTAAGGAAAAAATGGCTGGAATGGAAAAATGGAAAAAATTTGCTCCTCAGAATCTTTGCTTTCTAATGAGTTCAATTATTTGCAATCACTTCCACTGACAGAAAATTTTATCCCATGGTTATTGACAAAGCATTTAAAAAGTTTCCATCTTGCCATCAACGAAGACATTTCGCTGTTAGATACAATATTAATAGCCATGTCATTTTTCTAATTCGCACAGTTACAAAATTGCAGGGATTCTCTAGAAATTCAATTTTCAAATCATTTTCTCACCCATCAATAACATTCAGTGTTTGATTGCTAAAGATTCCACTTCTCACTTTAATTCACGGGGAATTAATTTATATGTAAGTGTAGTTCGAGAAATATCCTCTGAACTAAAAGAAAAATTTGTGAAATTAAAACTAAATTGTTGTGCATCAAGAAATAAAAATCTTACATCCCAAAAGAAGAAATAAAGAAATCATCAATACAAATCTTAGTTTGAAATTTAATCACAGTTTTGGCTTTCTGCAAAAATTACAAAAAAGCTTCTTCAATTGATGAATTAGATTTCCTTGAAGCTTTTCACATTCTCAAAGACCTTTTTAATGACTTTAATTCCAGTACAATTATTCCTAATTCTTTTAAAATGCTAAACTTAATTTTCATGTTTCCTTACTATTGCTAAGGGCAGATGGTGCTACCTTCTCCCTCTTTTTTTTTTTTTTTTTTTTTTTATAACTTTTGGTATGAATACAGGTGTCTTTTTTGCAAATGATCTCCTAATGATGAGGAACATGCACCTGTTGTCCCTGAAAGCGATAGAGTCCTGGTTAAATCATAGGCCAGACAGGAGGAAGTTGCTGCTTTGCCTAATTTAATGCACTAAGTATTCATGTAAAGCAAAAAATACAAATATTATCTTATTAAATGTTGGTTGAACCATCACGTATGGCGTAAGTTCTACAAATGTCTACAGTAGATTAAGATAATTCAGTTGAAATAAAATTTTATAATACAATCATTGCACAATTTAAGTTCATTAATTCAAAAAATTTCATTTATTGATGTGAAACATAAATTGTGTTAAGATAACATAATCAACAAAACAAATTTTTTAGTGTATTTAATTATGGCAAAGCACACGAGGGCTATCTGTCTAAGGGGAGGGATGCCTTCGTGGAGGACTTTTTAAGGGAAACTGGCTCGTATACATGTTACACATGGGGAAAACCATGAAAACACCCATGCAGCCAGCCCGTTCGCAATATTCGAACCTCGAACCGAACTACCAGTGTTCAGCGACTTTACCGCTCGGCCGCTGGTGGGTTCAACAAAACAAATAATACGGAACTCAAGAAATCAATTTAGTAAGTTATTATATAGAACTCAATATCCTTTTCTAACCATCATGTTATTTTGATGACATTTTACTAGCAGAATTAAAGTACTAAAAGTATAGGTACTTCGTATTAACACAACCATGTTGGTGTAATCTGACTGAGGTAAGAAAGAATAAAAAGTATATTTAGTTGAATGGAATGTTTAAGTGTAAATCTTGTTGCTATAAGAATTATTTATTACTTCATGAATTAGAAAGTGCAACATGGATCAATATATTGTGCAGTACTTACAAATGCTTCACATAATGAAATACACTTTTGTATGTAAGTATGACGATAGAATATAATATGCAATGCATCTGCATTTAAATATAATATGTATTTGAAATTTTTGTTTCATTAAGATACATATTTAAATTTTAATGTACAAACAATCATTACGAGTAATACTGCATTTTGTTTTATTTTAATTATGCAAATTTTATAGGAATTTGTGTTTGTGTTTTAGGCTTAATAGTATAAAGTACTTCGGCCCATGTTAATCCTAGGCCACAGACTTACATAGTAACTTCCTTATCCCTGTGCTGGGAAGGAAAAAATTAATTGTTTAAAATAAAACTGTTAAATTCCAGTCTATGAGATTTTTTAGTGTTATGACAAGAAACACTTTTTATATTAACATAATTTTTAGTTTTATAAGTGAGCATTCCACTGCATTACTCATATTTCTTCAAATCTTTAATTTTTACATTCTCTCCAAAGGTATAAAAAATTCTGTTTTCTTACATGTTCTTATTTCTTACATATAATAAATAATAGGTTACAAAATATGCTTAATCTATCATTTATAATTTATTTTTACACTGCACAGCAAACATTTCCAAAGTAATAACTTTTCCTG